AAATGTTGATACTGATGAGGTCAACCTCTTAGAAAATTTCAAATTTCCCAGTTCCTCATTTTCATAGAACAAAGGTTGACAAGCAAGTAGGCTGAGTGCAGCCTATCTTCCATGGCACAAAGAAAAATCTTATCCACCCAGTACAAGAGAAAAATTTTTAAAGGGAGTAGGCTGGAAATGGGAAGAGGACTTGGATTAAACAAAGCAGTGGTCCCGTCTCATAAAGAATGTGAATTTAGGGCTTCCCTGGTGACGCAGTGGTTGAGAGTCCGCCTGCCGATGCAGGCAACACGGGTTCGTGCCCCCGTCCGAGAAGATCCCACATGCCGCGGAGCGGCTGGGCCCGTGAGCCACGGCCACTGAGCCTGCGCGTCCGGAGCCTGTGCTCCGCAACGGGAGAGGCCACAACAGTGAGAGGTCCGCGTACCGCAAAAATAAATAAATAAATAAAAGAATGTGAATTTAACAAAGAAAAACATGTAACCAGATGGAGAATTGTATTCATCAGAGTTCAAGATGACACTCTTAAGCAAGGAGGTCAGATCCTAGGAGGACCCTATGTCGTCCCAGGGCGCTGGACACAAGGGGAAGGGACCAGCAGGAGCGATGGGTAGCAACTTCGAAGCTAAGTGAAGAGGGTGATGACGGGATTTTCCCAAAGGTGTAGGCAGATTCAAGGAGCAAACACGGGAGGACGAAGCACCAGGGACGAGCAACAGTGGGAAACCAGGCTTTCCCCTAGCGCTGGAAGGAAAAAAGGGTGTCTGAACTGGAGTTACTGGAGGTATAAGGAAGTGAGACAGGGAAGGAACAGCTGGCAATAAAGGGTATCGAACCAGTAATCACTGTAGGCAATCAGAACTTAACACGAAGGGCAAACTCTGGGAATCAGTATAAAACACCATGAGGCCATGAGGTTAGGCATCCCAGGCCAAGGGAGCCACTGTGGCCCCCAGCTGAGGATGAATGAACCACCCAGCCTGGGCTGTTAGAGCCCAAACAGGGTAAAAAGGGCATACATGGCATGGGAGCACCCAGAGTGGGGAGTCAGAGCCCTGGCAGAAAGAGGAAGCTATCATGGGGGGCAGAGGATGCCACCGAGATGGGAGATTGGTTTCATACTGAGGCATTGATCAAATAAGTGAACATATTAAGGATAATAAGAGGCAGGTTTCTCAATGTCATAAGAGGAACAAATAATAGGAATAAATCTAGAATGAACTCTGTAGTGTTGTATTAGAATTAAAGGCATAGGTGTGAATTCATGGATTTCAACATATACAGATATAGGTACAGAAATAAATACAATTGTAAATGTGTATATGCATGCATATATATGTATATACATGCACACATTTACATCTATACTTAAATATACATATTATATATACATGTATATTTATATCCACACACATACACATATGCATACACATTTACCTCTAAATTTGTGTGTGTGTGGATGTGTGTATCCCGGTTCTGTCCACTGAGGATCCCGGAGCAGGGAAATCGCAATAGGAATGAGCATTTACTAATGCTTAAATCTTGGCTTCTAAAAACCATTGTTCACTCAAAGAAACCAGGACCCCTTCGGAAAACAGCTGATTCCAGCACTGGGATGGGGAAAGACACGAGCTGAGCCTGGAGGATCTTGTTCTGCCAGAAAGCAAGGAAGTGCTGAAAGAATGATGGGGCCCTGGTCAAAGGATACCAGAGCCAGTTTGAATAGGCTCCTGCTGGCCAAGGATGGGACAGTTTAAGCATCAAAATGGATCATGGGCTCTAACTCCCAGGACAATGCTTGAGAGTGAAAGGTGGATTTCTTTGTTCACAATTTTAGCATGATCTCCAAAAATAGCCTAGAACAATAACAAATGTTTGCCCTTTGAATAAAATAGGAAATCATACATACATACATACATATATATATATATGGACAAATGAATAAATTGACACTTTGATGAGGAACAGATGACTCACAAAATTTCAAAGTACCTCCCTATAAACTGTTACTGTAAAGAGGAATAGAGTTACTTTACAGAGGAGAAGCTTGACAGATACTAACTTAGTCAAGTGATCAAAATGAATGCTATCAGTAACATAACAAGTTGAGATTTTGAGCCACCTGATAAGATGTAATTAAGAGAAAATAGCATCGTTTCTGTGTTATTTTGGCTAAAGATCAATAACCTGATTTTAATTATGGAGAAACATCAGACTGATACAAATCAAGGGACCTTCTGCAAAATAACTGCTTGTAATCTTCAAAAGAGCCAAGGCCATAAAAGCCTAGGCTGAGGAACTGTACAGACTGACATTCACAACAGAGGTGTGACAACTAAATGCAAAGGGAGATTCTGGATGGAATCTTTCGCATAAAATACATTATAAGGGCTTCCCTGGTGGCGCAGCGGTTGAGAGTCCGCCTGCCGATGCAGGGGACACGGGTTCGTGCCCCGGTCTCGGAAGATCCCACATGCCGCGGAGCGGCTGGGCCCGTGAGCCATGGCCGCTGGGCCTGCATGTCTGGAGCCTGTGCTCCACAGCAGGAGAGGCCACAGCAGTGAGAGGCCCACGTACCGCCAA